AGAGGAAAAAATGGGGAAAAAAGAGGAAAAAATGAAAAAAAAAGAGGGGGGGAAAAGACAAAAAAAGGAGAAAATGAGGAAAAAAGGAGAAAAAAGGAAAAGGGGAAAAAAAGGAAAAAGAAAAAAGGAAAAAAAAGAGGAAAAAAAAAAGAGGAAAAAAAGGAAAAAAAAAACAGAAAAAATGGGGAAAAAAGGAGGAAAAAAAGAGGAAAAAAAGAAAAAAATCCCAGAAAAAATGGGGAAAAAAGGAGGAAAAAAAGAGGGAAAAAATGAGGGAAAGAAGAGGAAAAAAGGGAAAAAAAAAGAGGGGGGAAAAGAGGAAAAAAAGAGAAAAAAGGAAAAAAGGAGAAAAATGAGGAAAAAAGTGAAAAAAGAGGAAAAAAAGGAAAAAAAAAAGAAAAAAAAAAAGAAAAAAAAAAACAAATCACTTATTTTGCAGAGCATCTTAGTTGGGTGGGTACTGATGAGTTTGAATTCACCCCCAGTACCCAGTGAGTGTTCCAACCCTCCCTAAAACCCCTCAAACCATTTTGCTGCCTCTGGGGGAGTTTTTTGCTCTTTTCCACCCCAATTTGGATTTATTTCCCTGCAGAGGACAGCGAGGATGAGAAGGAGGATCACAAAAATGTCCGTCAGCAGCGCCAGGCGGCCTCCAAAGCAGCCTCCAAGCAGAGGGAGATGCTGCTGGAGGATGTGGGCAGTGAGGAGGAGGAGCAGGAGGAGGATGAAGCTCAGTTCCAGGAGAGTGAGTCAATGGGCACTGAGGGGGGGAATTGGGCTCCAAATTTGCAGCAAAATTTGTGCAAAACCCACAAAATTTATCTTCACAAATGGGTGAAATGGGTCAGATTTAAGTCATCAAATATTTAAATTATATTAATGTGGCTGTGGTAATTTTCTGTGATTTGAGAGTTGGAATCTGTCATGAATTTGATTTATTGTCCTCCAAGCTGGGTTGGTGGGAGATAATTCCAAATCACTTTTGAAGCACTGGGTTATGGCAGTCTCACAAAATTTATCTTCACAAATGCCTAAAATTGGTAAGATTTAAGTGGCTGTGGTAACTTTCTGTGATTTGAAATTTGGGAACCCCTCATGGATTTGCACCATTTATTGTCCCACAAGCTTGGTTGGTGATGTATAGTGGAAAATAATCCAGTGCTTCAACAGTGCTTTGGAATTTTTGCAATCTCACAAAATTCATCTTCACAAATGGGCAAAATGGGTAAGATTCAAGTCATCAAATATTTAAATTATATTAATGTGGCTGTGGTAATTTTCTGTGATTTGAAAGTGGGAACCCCTCATGGATTTTCACTATTTATTGTCCCTCCAAGTTTGGTTGGTGGGAGATAATCCAGTGCTTCCAAAGTGCTGTGGAATTTTTGCAATCAAAAGTTTTTAAAGTTCAACGCCAGATTTTAGGATATAACCTGAGAAATTAAATAATTGAAGAGTTCACTCAATGAATGTGGAGGAATGTGTGAGCCAAAGCAGCCTCCAAGCAGAGGGAGATGCTGCTGGAGGATGTGGGCAGTGAGGAGGAGGAGCAGGAGGA